GTATTTATATTTCTGTACAAGATGTTTAGATTGTAAAAAAGCCTATTTTTGGGTTATTAACAAAGTTTGTGTACTCAGACCAGTAATATTTCAGGTCACAAGTTTTTGCCATGGATATTTTGTGGGTCAAAAGCTGAAAAATTTGGGAACCACTGCACTTGGGACCCAATTATGGGTCATGAAGCACCTTGGATAATCTCCAGAAATCAATTTAAAGGGTAATAAAATAATTGCTGATGTAATATTTTCCCTATAATTATTACAAAAACACAAAATAAGTATAAATAAGTATTTATATTTGTGTATAAGATGTTTAGATAGTCAAAAAGCCTGTGTTTTTAGGGTTATTAACGAAGCTTGTGTACTCAGACCAGTAATATTTGAGGTCACAAGTTTTTGCCATGGATATTTTGTGGGTCAGAAAATAAAAAGTTTGGGAACCACTGCTCCAGTGGACAGCTATGTGAAGGCAAAATCTTTTGACTGTGCAGATTGTGTTCAATTACAAAAAAATGTTTACAATGATTTAGCTTCAAGTTAAAAAGTGGAACCAAATGCAAAGATGACTGCAGGCTGAATCCTGAGTCCATGTGGTCACAAAGGTCCTGGATGTATACAGATGACAACTGAGAGACCTGATATAGGTGAAAATAATGGCACAGGTTTTAGTTGTGCGTGCAACTGAGAGGACGTGAAACCTCTAATTAATCATCATTGTGTTTTATTCGATACATTAAATTGCAAATGGCTATTTAATCCGTACAAAGTTTATAAAATGCTCCTGTTGTGCAGAGTATACTGTAGGAATGCAAAAATGTGCTATATTGCAGTTTTTGAAGGGAAACTGAAAGTAGTTGTGTGTCTGCCTTTTTCATTTTTAGATTAAAGCTTACCTTTCACCAAGTTCCAGCACTGTCAAATCACAATGATGTTGTAACTTGTTTAATTGAAAATGTTTTGAAATAACTTCCAAAAAGACACCAGGATCATGTTTAGTGGTTTAAAAAGACATAGAAAAAATTAAGCTACAGGAAAATAATGTTGTTTTAAAATTAATTTAAAAAAAGTGGATAATTAGCACTGTGGCTCAGTTGGTAGAGCTGATGCCTCTCAGCCAGCCAGTCACCGGATCAAATCCTGACCTGGGGACCTTTCTGGGTAGAGTCTGTATGTTCACTCCATGCATGCGTGGGTTTTCTCCAGGTACTTCCTCCCACAGACCAAAAACATGACTGTTAGGTTAACTGGTAACTCTAGGTGAGAGTGAATGGTTGTTTGTCTCTTTGTGTGTCCCTGTGATGGACTTGTGACCTGTCCAGGGTGTACCCTGTCCCTTGCACAGTGACTGCTGGATATGGGCACCAGTGACCCCCGTGACCCTGAAAGTATGAAGCGGGTATAGATAATGAATGAACACTAAACATGGAAAGTGAAAACTTGTCATACGTCAAAACATATGGCATAACTTTTACACATTTATGTACTGTTATGAAACTTTCAGAAAACATTCAGAAGTTTTTCAGTGATTAATAGCATGAATTAGTTTCATTTACTTATTTTTGTAATCAAATAAGTAGTAATAAACCTATATTCACCCAAAGATTGAATTATTTACCTCAGAACATTTTATTTCAATATTTTGCTGAAGATATAAAGATCTGTCTTGATGAATTAAACTGATTGATTCATAGAATATAGGTTTTCCAGCTGTCAGATTGTTAAAAATGTATTTGTCTCTCTCTTCTGAGAGTAAATGACAACTTGGGGACAAATGAGTTCTGTGTAATTTTTCTTTTTGTGCCATTATTTCAACCCTCTATACCAGTGGTTCCCAAAGTTGGGGTCGGGACCCACAGTGACAGTGGGGTCCCAGAATATCAAGGTGGGGTCCTGAAAAGATTTTCTGAATTAATTACACAAAAAAATTACAACTGTCAATATTTTTTGACTTTTGTTACAAAAAAAAAAATAAAGTTAGTGTACTTAAAATGGACATAAATAGCACAATAAATATTGTTACTACGCTCTTGTTTCTTTGACGTGAAAACAATGTTCATCAACCAACAACAGCTGGGGTCTCAGGTCTCTGCTGCTGGTATTTTGTGGGTCAACAGCTGAAAAGTTTGGGAACCACTGCTCTAGACAAGAAGATATATTGTTGTTCAGGTAGGGAAATCACAAATCCATTATTCAGTATTGGAAGTAAGACCAGCTGAGTCAGCACTGACAGTGACGAACATCAACAGCATTCAATGAGGACTGTCAGGCTGATAATCAGTTGTGCAACACATGGTCAGCACAGTTCATCATTAATACCTGGCTGGACAAACCTCATCATCTGATCCACAAATCCAGTTATTTTTAGGCTAGAGTGGATCACGATTCTCCTCTCACTGATCCCATTTGCATGTGTGACTCAGCACTTGGTGCAAAACTGATGAGTCATGCAAAATGTTTTACCTTAGTGTACAATTGCGATATACATTACTTACTTACCGGGAAACTGTAAGTTTAGTTCACACAATAGCTCAAGTGTTGTCATTTAATAGTAATTCACAGCAGTTAAACGGTCCACTGATGTGTTTTTTGATGGATCCCCATAGTGGAATAATATCATAAGACAAACTTGGAAATGTGGAGGGGCTGATTCTTACTCCAACTTCTTGAACCTCTCCTTGCCAGCAGCCACGTACTGCTCCCCGCTCTGCAGGCTCTCCAGCTGCTCCACCCGGTGACCTCCCCTCGGGGTGTAGATGTTCCTCACGGCGCCGAACGGAGCGTGGACCCCGCCGGTCACCTCCCGCAGCAAAGTCTCAAAGTTGCACACCCGCTTCTCGTTGATGACAATCCGGCGAGCCTCGAAGTACGGGTCGCCGTTTCGGAACATGAAGACGTTCTTCACCACGGGCTGGGAGAGAAAGTTCGGCTTCTCCGAGCTCATCTTTTGCGCGCAAAGAACAAACAAGTAATTTAAAAAAAGAAAGAAAGAAACAAGTCAGGTGATAAAATGACAAGAAACTCAGATCACAGCTTTGTGTTCAGGCTATAAAAACGTAACGAGAGATGATCCATCCCGCTTAAACGTTTAGTGGAGGAGCGGCGGAACAACGACGCGCGCACCTCAAAGGTGATCCGACGCTGTTTGGACATAAAGAGGACTAAACTTCCCACCCACTCACTGGGATGTCCTGGGAATTCATATGTTTGGGATGTATCTATGGGAACAAAGGAGGTGATCCCTGCTGGAATCACCAGGTGGCCAATTATTAACCTCTAAGCAAAAAAAGATATGGGCTGTTTAACAAAACCCTCTTAAATAAAATAATCAAATATTCATAAGGAGACCTGTGGTCAGAGAAAACTGCGTGGGAGTTGAACAGCAGCAGCCATGTGAGGAGTTAATTGGGCATCAGGGGATCAGATGGAAACTACCCAGCTAACATTCTGATAGGACAAGAAAAAAACATGTTTGTTTGGAGAACATTGTGTCCTATATGACTCTCAGATGGGACATTAAGGCCATTAAAAACCAAGGGAGTAAATGCAGATCTTTAAGTGTGCAAACATTTAAGTTGCAGGGTGGGTAGGTTTGATTTCCCATCAGTTATTTCCCATCAGACCATGTTGTCAAACTTGAGATTATTTATTTGTTCACTTGCAGAACTTCGTTAAAACCTTTACAGCTCAGCTCATGAATGATGACAACTGCTGTGTTGTTTAAGGGGAAATATGAGCATTTCTTTAAATCACTCTCTTTGTTCATTCAATTAATGAAAATAAAGAAACAAAGCATCATAATCCCTAATTAATTAATTATGTTCAGTGAATTTCACATAATCCTGAGAGTAAACATTAAGACCACATTGTTTTAACTTAAACAAACTTAAATATAACTGTTACAATAAAACTATTCTGATTATTTTTTTCCCCATTAGACTGTCATCAAAAAATAAGAGTTACTGAATTGTTCCATAGGGGGCGACATGAGGATTTCATCCTGTAAAATGGGTTGCTGGTTTGAACTCCCGCTCCGGTCGTCTCAGCCGTTGCATCTTTGGGCAAAAACACTTCACTCGGACAGAGGATCTGATGGCGCCAGTGCATGGCAGCCTTTCTTCTGTCAGTGTGCCCCAGGGAAGCTGTGGCTACAATGTAGCCTATCACCATCAGTGTATGAATGGGTGAATGACTGTAGTGTGAAAGCTTTAGAGTCTTTGGCTTGATAAAGCGCTGTATTGGTTCAGGCCAGTCATTCATAATCATGTGTAGATATCAGTTCACCGTTTGATGCTAGGTTTCAGATAAAACTTTATCTTAAACACATTATTCAAGGAGACATTCTTTGACAATCATGTAAGATGGATTTCACCACTTGGAACTGTCTTATCTCATACATATTTTGGGCATTGCATTTTAAAATTCTGGGGCCATAAATAATCCAGTACCCAACCAATGTCGTTTTGAACAGATGCGTTTTCAGCAGTGATTTGAAAAAGGAAAGAGAGTCCATATTCCTGATGACAGAAGGGAGGGAATTCCAGAGCCGAGGAGCACATCGGCTAAAGGCCCTGTACCCCATGCTGACACGACGGGCAGAAGGGACCGTACAATCAGAGGCAGTTGTGGATCTAAGGGCACGAGAAGGAGTAGAGATATGAAGGAGGTCACACAAATAAGGAGGGGAAAGGTTATGGATGCATTTGAATGTGAGAGTTTGAATTTTAAAATTTATTCTTTCTTCAATGGGCAACCAAGTTGTTGCAGAATCAGGGTGACGTGTTCTCTTGATGAAGTACAGGGTAGGCTGCAGAGTTCTGGAGGCGTTTGAGTTTCTGTAGTCTTATTTGGGAGACCAAAAAGAAGAGAATTGCAGTAATTGATTCTGGAAGTGATAAGGCTTTGGACAGTGTGGCAGCAGCATGAGGAGTGAGAAAGGGACAAAGTCAGTTGATATTGTGTAAATGAAAGTATGCAGACCTTGTGATGGAATTAGTATGGGATTGAAAGAAAGTGTACTATCAAGTAAGACACCCAGACTCTTTACCTGAGGGGGAAAATGAACCTGAGATCCGTCGATATTGATGGAAAAACTGTGAGATTTGGTTAAAGTGGAGGCTGTGCCAACAAGCAAAGCTTCTGTTTGGTTATTATGAAGTTTAAGAAAATTGGAGGAAAACCATGATTTTTTTTTTGTCCGTAAGACAGTCTTTAATGTAATGCATTACATTGGGTTAAGGGTTGATTTATTCCAGTTTGTGAATGTGCTTCTCACCTTATCACCTATAACAAATAATTCATTTCACTAAAAGTTTATTTTTTAGTCAGTAGGTTTGACTTGATGCAGCTTTGGAGCAACAAACTTCTCACCTTCTTGCTGTGAGGCAACAACACTAGCCACTTCATCATTAGCTGTCCTGTGACCAGTGGGTTGCCGGTTTGATCCCCCATTCTATCTGTTTTGGCTGTTGTGTCCTTGAGCAAGACACTTCCTGTGCCTTGCTTATTGGTGGTGGTCAGAGGGTCCTATGGTGCTGGTGCATAGCTGCCTCACCTGTCAGTGTGGACAGCTGTGGCTACATTGTAGCTTACCACCATCAGTGTGTGAATGGGTGAATGCCTTTAATAAAGTGCTTTGGCGTTCTTGGACTTGATAAGGTGCTATACAGGTTCAGACCAATCATTGTTTTAATAAAGTATAGGAGTACTCTTTCATAAATAAGCAATTAACATTCCTATTTTTAATGCAACATATTTTTTACACTTTACTTAAAATGTTGCCTTTTTTCTTGATTCTGGTGCTTTCAGTCAATAATATATACTTAACATGTGAAGCACAACAATAATACAAAAAACTAAAGTCTATTGCATTAGTAATTTTTACTTCTATGGTGAGTGACACTTCAGCTTTATAGATTGGTCTACATGGTGGATTTCTTTAGTGTTAAAAAGATCAAGAACTGTAAATAAGCTCTGCTTTAAAAGAGAGGTCAGATCAATGGGTGGTATTGTCCCGTGATATGAAACCATGTGTAGTACATTTATCTTTCCACTAGAGGGAAGTACACACTAAGTAAAACAGACTTGGTAAAAAGTTTATAAACGTGTCCATGTGATGAGCTAACCATTATGTATTTGTAAAATCATGTTAGACAGCAATATGTGTGTTCCCAAAACGGCTTTATTTAACTTTTTTCCTTCTCAGTGTAGTTTACAGCCAAATACAGAAACAATTCTGTTCAACTAGCAAACTGTGTGCCATTAAAATATAGGATGAAGGTTTTTAAAACCAGCATCTTATCATTTCTGTTTGATTTGATTGTTAGAACTGGTTGGTTGATTGTGTCTCTTCTTTGACACCCTGTTAAGACAAAGACAAAAAAAAAAAAAGACAAAGACAACATCCCACACAGCGTCGTGCACCTCCAAATGACACATTTCCATTTTCCTGTACCCCTTCTTGTGTGTATATATTCAGTTTCAGCATCGGAGGCAAGACGTGAAATTACACATAATTGCTGTTGTTTTACCGCGAGCGATAATGGCACCTTTTAAACCGTATCCTTCAAAGGCCAAAATTGCCTTGCAAAATTGCTCGAGGCTGAGCAGCCACACAAAACAAGCGTTTGTCGCTGTGCGTGACCGCAGTCAACAAACGGAGGAAAGGTCATGTCAACAACTTTACGTTGAAACCAACACTGAAAAAAATTTAAGCAACTAAATGCAGGCACTGCTGAGGAGGTTCACGCTTCCTTAGCTGTGAGCTGTTAGCTGCAGTACATTTAATGAATAATGTAGTAGAAAATGTAACTGAGGGGCAAAATAAGACTAACAAAACTGACACGAATTTTACTCACAAATCAGAAATATTCCTCTTTTCCCGTCATAACAGGATGATGAAAATAAAGTTAGATTTCAACACCAGCATGCTCACAGGGGATCAGGTTATGTCTTAAATAAAAAATCACTTGAGAACCACTTGCATGGGTTCTATCCGGGTACTCCGACTTCCTCCCACATATCAGAACCATGACTGTTAGGTTAATTGGTAACTCTAAATCAGGGGTTTTCAAACCTTTAGGATTTGGGGACCCCTTACAATAGTGAAAAATAAATTCCAGGGACCCCCACATAAACCCCATGCTGTAATAAAAGATAATTTATAGTCATTTCAACCCCTAAATTGCATGGGAATATATATTTAAGTTTATTGTGTTTGTTTTATTAGTTCATTGTTCGTCATGCATTTTTAAAAATAAAAACCAAATTAACAATTTAGTCAAAAATTTTAAGGACCCCCCAAGATACCTCTCACAGACCCCTGGTGGTCCTGGGACCCCAGTTTGAGAACTTCTCCTCTAAATTGTCCCTAGGTGTGAGTGAGAGAGTGAGTGGTTGTTTGTCTCGTTTGTCTCTATATGTGTCCCTGACTGTGATTTTTCAACACCCCCGTGACCCTGAAAGGAAAAAGCGGGTATAGATAATGGATGGATGAATTGATGGATAAAAATCACTTATTGCTTGCTGAGAAAGTCAGTGTAAACCCTGAAATAAACCATTCACTCAAAAGGGACGGTCACACACACTGAGCTCACATATCTATGTTTCTGTTAGGACTTTAGACAATAATCACTTCAAACTGTTTGGTTATCTGTCTGCGGATGCTGTGGATTTTCTGTATTTGACAGTCTTGTTACTGTAATGAACACTGCAGATGCTCCATCACGCTCATCCATCTTTGAAACGCTCAGTTTATCAATATTCTTTAATACAATGAAGATATTTAGGTAGAAACACTCAAGTAAATACATCTTGAGACTAAAACAAATCAATATCTCATTTAAAAAAGGAGACTGAGATCAATGTATTTTTATTAACAGAAAAATGTTAAAGAGGAACTTTTAAAGGGATAGTTCAGCTCTTTTGAAGTAGAGTTTTCTGGAAAGGTTTCTAAGAACTAATATCTTACCTGCTTGAATGTCAGTTGGAAGAAAAAAAAGAGGCAAGTTCTGACTAAAAATGTTTATTTGAAGAAAAGCTGAACTGAACGAAATGGCAAAATTCTGCCATCCTTAAACAACTCCAGCATAGCAAAAGCTATTCGACAAACGTTTACATTGCCAATCATTTCACATAGCCAAGCCACTTTTGCATGTTATTTAAAAAAAGAGAGAAACAAGTATTATATCCAAAAGTAATGGCTACGTTATTGCTGCTACAGCTAACTGTAGCTGCTAATTGTGCTTTTCAGACAGCGACAATTGTGCTGCAAACTTCACTACATTTAACTTTTTTCTCATCTTGATGATACAGCCACTGACAAAAAGCCAAACCAATCTACGTATTAATATTATAAATAACTACCGAATCCCACAAAAATAATGTAAAATAGTCAGAAGTGATAAAAATTAGATTAAAAAACATAAACTTTTATAAAATGATTAAGATTTGAGTTGTTTTAAGAAAACAGAACTCTACTTTTGATTTGGCCCTATTCAAGCTGTCTGTTAGTATATTCACATGGTTCGAATTAAATTCTCTCCAAGGTGACTCAGTTTAAAGAGGTTATCTTCAACAGGTAAGATGGTTGGTGGTTTTCTCACCTTCTTATTTTCAAATAAATATATATTTCTTAACCCTTTTTTATCCAGACAAATCCCAATGAGATCACAGACTTCTTTTGCAAGGGAAACTGGGCCAGACAGACAGACAGACAGACAGACAGACAGACAGACAGACAGATAGACAGATAGATAGATAGATAGA